ATTCCTGCCCCAAAATAGCCCTGCTTCCATATTTGAAATGTAGAACTGAGGTCAAGGGATAGAATATTGCTCAAGGACACTGGATGAGCCCTGGGCAGAGGTGAGGTCCAAATCCAGGTCACAAGGCCACCACCCTATCTATTTCACCATAGCACCTCTGAAAACAGCAACATTAATTGTATTTGTTTGTTTTAGGAGAGATGAAAATACATCTGTGATTCATGGTCTCAAGTGGGACCTCCCAATAGAGCATGATTCATTTCAACAAATTCTCTTTTCTCCTTAATTGGAATGGTTTTTCTAAGATAAATGAATATACTAATTACTATAATACATAAGAGATGAAGAATCTATCACATATTTTGCAAGATTTATCCTGGATCATGTATCTTAAAATAAACATCCTTATTGTATAGCCATTGCTGAAGGTATTTTGCTATGGACATGACCTAGGAGGATGCATCTGTATGTCTGAGAAAGCCATGGTACACACAACCTGAGGGGAGTAAGATGACATCCATTTCAGTGATTCAAAGCAAGCAGTTACAGAACTGTATATTCAGCCTTTGAATGGAAACTCACCAGGAAAAGGAAAATTGTAAGTATATAAAAACTTGCTACCATAAACAGTGGCTTGGATCCAAGTGCACAAGTGGAAATGTAAACCAACTTAGCATAGTTTGCTTGTGCAAATTCTTGTTCATCAAAACCAAAAGCTTTCCTTGCTATGTTATAGGGTCCAGAAATAGGTTGTATAAGATAATACATAAGCAGACATGAAAACAGAGGTACAAGAGCTCTAACGCAAGCAGAAATTTTGTGCTGGATCCAAGCTAATGTCTGTACAGTGCTGGAGTAAAGCCAGTGGAAATGGAGGGATGGAAAATGTACAAAGATTTTTTAAAATTCACAATCTCAGTACCGTTCCCCCGAGCACTCAGATCTTCTCACAATCAAATCAATAAATAATGACAAGTGTATAAAAAGGTGAAAACAGTATGCACAGTAGGAATGGCAAAGAAAAAAAAGACACATAAAATGAATTATCGTCTATGCCCTTGAATCAGAAATATACCATGTGGCATATTTATTGAAGAACCTGAGGCTAAGACAGATACAGTACAGGTATTTCTATTTTCAAAGAGATATGTACATGCACACATTTGAAGGACTGATAGCAAGAGAAAGAGCTGAACTGCTTTGGTTAAAAATCAACAGTTCATTAAGTAATAGTCATAAATACTAGTTTGTCTCTGTGCTCGTGGAAGAAGATCTTTCAGTCAGAGTTGGGAATTATTTATGAGAAGTTTTTTTGTCTCTATTGGTAAGGTATCACCTTTGGATCCACCCAAGTAAAAAGACAGTTATCACAATAATATCAATATACTGGATAATTGCATGTTTAAATTAGAAATATTTATTTATCTTAACCAACAGAAACAAATGCATCTGGGATACTCTGAACAGGATAGTTTTAGGTAATAAAGAACCACCCTCTCATTCAAAAGAGGGTTGGATAAATTTTAGAAGTTAGTGCTCATCTCACAGCCCTGACACTTTGCTAGGAACAAGCCCCACTGAGTAAAATGGAAATTCCCTGTTGACCTACTAAGGATTGCTCCCTTAATTCAGGCCAATTTAAATGAGGGAGGTCCAGTGACATCACTTTGATATATATATTTTTTCTTCGTTGAAACAAAACTATTTTAAATAGTCTATCCTCTAGTAGTTGTGTTGATCAGTGTAAAGCAGAGCCAGGGTGATGCAAAACATCTGAAAGGCAGGGACTATCAAGGGGAAATTCTGGAATGTATGAATCCCAAATGGAAGGATATAACATTATAATTGAGTTTTGGTTTATATTTCATTGTACCATCTGAGATTTATGCCTCTTATTTTCACTTGATAATTCCTGCCTTTTGGGCACTGTGTATCATCCTGGCTCTGCTGTAGACTCTTGGCTTTCTGGAGGACTTCTTACTTCTCTTTTGTTTTCAGTGTTGTTGATTTCAGCTGGATTTCTTCCCACATAAGAAGAGATAGCATTTAGTCTTTTCCGATTTTGTTATTTTGTGAAACTGAGGTGGACAGCTCCAGCTCTAGTAATCTATACAGTGGAGCTTTCAGTTGTTAAGGCAGAAGATGCCAAGGTGATAAAACTTTGCATATGATTTTGTAAGTCTTGGTGCTGGCATCAAGGAGCATGCTGGAGAGTCTGTGGGTGAGCATAAGAACATAAGAACATAAGAGATGCCAATGTTGGATCAGGCCAAAGGCCCATCCAGTCCAACACTCTGTATCACACAGTGGCTAGAAATACCAGTGCCATCAGGAGGTCCACCAGTGGGGCCAGGACACCAGAAGCCATCCTACTGTTGACCCCCCCCCCCAAGCACCAAGATGACAGAGCATCACTTGCCCCAGAGTCCCTATCTATACCTTGTAGCTAATAGCCACTGATGGACCTCTGCTCCATATGCTTATCTAATTCCCTTTTGAATCTGTCCATGCTTGTAGCCGCCACCACTTCCTGTGGCAGTGAATTCCATGTGTTAATCACTCTTTGGGTGAAGAAGTACTTCCTTTTATCCGTTCTAACCCGACGGCTCAGCAGTTTCATGGAGTGCCCACGAGTTCTTGTATTGTGAGAAAGGGAGAAAAGTACCTCTTTCTCTACCTGCTCTTTCCCATGCATAATCTTATAAACCTCAATGATGTCACCCCTCAGTCGTCGTTTCTCCAAGCGAAAGAGCCCTAAGCGCCTTAACCTTTCCTCATAGGGAAAGTGTTCCAACCCTTTTATAATTTATCATATACTTTGCACACAGTTTCAGTCCTGGTATCTCCAGCTAAAAGGGTCAGGTGATGTGGGAGACCTTGATCTGAGGCCTTGAAAAGCCACTACCAGTCAGAACATAAATCTTTACTGATCTTGATGAACCAAGGGACTGAAGCTTACCTGTTTTTTTTACAAGAAGTAAGGAGCAGCTTTGTTATTAAGCACTCACTCATAACTGCTAGTTAACCAGAAACATGACATTCTATCCTTATGGTCTGTCTTGGTTCCACCACCCACCCCCTCATCATACTGATCGCCCAATGATGGTTAGCAGTGAGACAATTCGTAAGGCAGTGATCAGATCAAACAATGTGCTTTTAAAGGAAGAGTGGAAACAGGTTCAGTAAGCAAGCAGGTCTGTCTCTCCTGCAAGGTTTTATTAATGACTGAATATTAAACTTGAGCTCACATTTAAATGTATCGTTCATGTTCTCCCCCGAAAACAACAAGATAGGTGATGGATAACCATCTGTGTCAGAGACAGTGATCTCCATGCAGATTCTCTGAAACATTTGGAGGTCTCCCCATCCCAGTAACTTGTATCACTCAACATGGACAAAAATTACAGGCACAATTCAACCAATGTTATTAGATCTTTCATGGAAATTGTGAGGATTAGTTGTGTCAATTTATTGCAGAAAAATAAACTGCAGCATAATGGCACCTCTAAGACTACCAGAGTTTTATTCTAGCACAGACCGCCTTCATCAGATGCAGGATAGGGCGCAGGATAGAAATTACATATTATTGAAAGGGATGTACACGTTGTTTGGCAAATACCCTCATAAAGGAAAATTGAGACTATGTCTCTGAAGGAATAACCTCAATCCAGAGTCTGTAGATGCTTGGATCCAAACCTATGAGTGGCAACCACATTCCTCTCTCCCAGTTTAGATAATGATGACAAAGGTGCGGTATCTACACATCGATCTGATTTATTGCAGAGAAGGAGTAGGTAAGGAAAAGTACTTGATTGATTTCTATGCCACTCTTCTTTTCCAAGCACAAATCCCATGTTTTTTATAATTTTAATTATTTATTTTAGTCGTAAAAAACTTTTTTAAAAATAACTTAGTTCAAAGAAATATAACTTGGGATAATCTAGGGATCTATGGATAATTCTCTCATTTACTTAAGAAGTACCTGTTCCAACTGGACTCCTAGCTGAATTTCATAAAGTTTTGACGTGTTTTAGCACTGGTGTTACTGTCCATGGGGTTTTCTTGACAAAGATACTGGAGTGGGTTGCCATTTCCTTCTCCAGTGGATCGTGTGTGTTTTTTTCTTCCCTAGGCATGTTCACTTCTTATAAGAATTTTTATTTCATATATAAGACAGACAAGACAAACATACATGCATACAAATTACGGGAAATCCATTTGTATCATTATTTGACCTAGTTGCTGACCTCATACTATTTCCAAAACATTCATTTCTTTTATCCACCTTATAATTTTCATATATACCTTTTGCTTACAATTGAATATATAGTTCTTATTTTCTTTTAGTTTGGTTGTATGTCTGAAAGTTTTAAGTCTTCTACTCTTCTATCCATTCATAAAGTTGTGACCATGTGTTCTCAAAGTTTTCTTAGTGGATTGTGTTTTGTCTGGCTTCGCATGAAGTGGTCCATGGGGTCGCGAAGAGTCAGACTCGACTGTGCGACTGAACAACAACAGCAGCCGTGGCATTAACACTGGTGTTTGTTATCTGTTTCACAACAGATTTAATATCACAAACTTGGAATGATGCTGAATGTGTAGTAATTAGACTTGAAAAGAAAACAAGGTCAAAAATGGTTCCCAAGTTCTTCTGCTTTATTCGTGGCATTACAGAAACAAGAGAGAGAGGGAGGTTAGATCTGGATATTCAAACCCTTTTTTGTGAGCCTAAAATGGGGGAAATTAAGGAGGTTATTGCCTGCAAAAACTCTAGCCAGTGTGTGTGATGTGTGTGTGTTTGATACAGAGTACATTGTTTCTTGATTTTTAAAAAATTATTTAATTTTTTTTTAAATTTACTTTTTTATGCTCTAGGTTCACAGTAATTTGAGTTTGTTCAGCGGAAACATATATTGGTAGGATAAGTTAAATAAACTTTCCCAACCCCTCATCAACATGAGTTTAAGAAACCTTTCCCAACCCATCATCACTGAAATCATTCTCCTTGGCTTCTCAAATCTCCACCAGCTTCAGAAACCGCTTTTTGCTCTTCCTCCTCTTCTTTGTCATGTATACACTGACTTTGCTTGGCAATGGGTTGGTCATTATTCTGATTGAAATGGATCACCGCCTCAAAACACCCATGTACTACTTTCTCAAGAACCTGTCCTGGCTGGAGATCATCATCACAACAACTGTCACACCCAAGATGCTCAGCCTGTTCATCTTACAGAACAACACCATGTCTTTCTTTGCCTGTGCTCTGCAAGGATATATCTACTTTGTGGCTGGTACTTCTGAAGTTCTCTTGTTGGCTGCTATGTCAGTAGATCGCTACATGGCCATCTGTAACCCGCTGAGATACACCTCTATAATGAGAGCCCAAGTCTGCCAGCTGATGGTACTGTCTTGTTGGTTGTGCAGTTTCTTTTCTATAACAGTATCTATGGTTCTGAAGGCTGGACTGCCTTTCTGTGGCTCCAACGTTATCGATCATTTTTTCTGTGACAGTGGTCCTATGCTGGAGATGATTTGTGCTGACATTCGCTTTCTCCAAGCCTTAGACTTGGCTGTCTCCTGCTTTAATCTCCTGAGCTCTGTATCTGTGACAACTATCTCCTACATCTGCATCATGGTTACTGTGATGAGGATTCCCTCTGCCAAAGGCAGGAAGAAAGCCTTTAATACTTGCAGCTCTCACATCACTGTAGCATCACTCTATTATGGTAGTTCCATGTTCATCTACATCAAGCCAGCTGGCAAAACCTCTATGGATTTTAACAAGGTGGCCACAGTACTTAATACAGTGGTAACCCCTTTGCTGAACCCCATCATTTACACTTTCAGGAATAAGGTTGTGAAAGAGGCTATGAAAGACACAATTGGGAAAATGAGGGCTGGTTTTCAAAAATGAGGCCCAAGATTACATGCTCAAACAGACCAAATACACTGAAGATGTTGCAAAGTAATCATAACTTTTTTTAAAATGCCAATATCGCAATCATAGAACAGGAGACCGAACATGCTTCAGTCATTGTCTTAAATCAACCCAACAGTCAAATGATTCTAAAGACAAATTTCTTTTACAAGAACGACAAATTACATGCATACACATTTTATATACAGAGATCATGCAAACTCCTCAAAAATTTCTTTGCTTCCTCACTTGCCACCGGGTTTCCAGATGCTCCTCTAGGTCTCTGAATGCTGGCCTTTAAATCTCCTTGCTGGACAGCCAGTCAGCCAATTTCTACTCTCTCAGCAGCAACATCTCCCTTCAGTTTGAGCCAATGTGGTATTGTGGTTAGGAGTGCAGACTCTATCTGGGAGAACAGGGCTTAATTCACCACTCCTCCCCATGCAGCTGCTGGTGTGACCTTGGGCCAGTCATTAGTTTATTCAAAGCTGTTCTCTCAAGGGCAGACCTCAAAAGAGCTCTCTCAGCCCCACCTAACTCACAGGGTGTCTGTTGTGGGAAGGGGAAGGGAAAGGAGATTGTAAGACACTCTGAGACTCCTTCTGGTAGTGCAGGGTATAAATCCAAACTCCTCCCCCTCCTCCTTTTTCTTCCTCAGTTGTTGTTTCTTCTGATCAGCAGGCTGGGCAAGTTGCCCAGCCACTGCTCACAGTTTGTGGGGCCAGGTCACCAGCCCCACATATCATTTAGTAATTCATTTTAAATGTAAAGATGATAATGGGCATAATACAAATGACTAAATGATGAGAATGATTTTTGCTAGGCACTGGAAGACCCAAGTACTCCCAATAAAAAAGAATGGCTGTTAAAAGTGTATGATATTTTGTGAATGGTAAAATTAACTGCAATGCAACATTTTGGGAACATAAAGTATGAAGGAGGAAATTGGCAACTCTTAATTAGGTATTTTGATTTAGTGGTAGAGTAATACATAAAACAGTGTGGTTTGTTAGTCAGAAATGAATGTATGTCAGCTAATTTTCAAACTGAATATTGTTTTGTCCTTTAAAGCCTCCATAAAAGTCCCAGTAGATAGGGACAAGTTGATTATCTCTTCCAGAGGAGCCCGAATGCTCTCCCCGCAAGATTTCACTAGCCAGGAAGGGCATGGGTCAAGGATGCCAGGGTCCTGTCAACTTCCTCCCAGGTGAGTCGACTGAAGTGGTCCAATAATGGACCAGAAGATGGACAAGGGGCTTCCAGTTTCTTTACTGTCTCAAGTGTGGCTGGAAGGTCCTGGCAGAGTGCCATGATCTTATCTGTGAAATAGCTCGCAAACGCCTCACAGCCAATAGCTAATTCCCTACTATTTGGTCTGCCATGAGGCAGAGTCATAATAGACTGAATAACTCTAAATAACTGGGCTGGGTGCGAGCTCACAGACGCAATGGAGGCTGCATTGAAATCCTTCTTTGCGGCCTTCACTGCCATCTCATAGGCTTTGATAAGTGTTCTATAAGATGTTCGTGACACTTTGTCATGAGCATGCCACCACCTTCGCTCTAGCTGTCTTAGCTCCCGCTTCATCCTTTGCAGCTCCATGGTATACCACGATGCTGCTTTGGTGCGGGGGTGCAGAGGGTGCCAGGGGGCAATCTCATTGATGGCTTTGGAGAGCTGGTTATCCCAGTCCACCACCAGCTCATCCAACGAGATGCCAGGGGGCATTGGATCCCGCAGAGCCTCCTGAAGCCTACCAGGGTCCATTTGACTCCAAGGGCAAGCATAAATGCACTCGCTGCCTAAACAGGGTGGGTATGGTATGCTCAGCTGGACCTTCAGGGTGAAGTGGTCAGACCATGGGACTACATCTGTAGCCATCAGATCCACATGTATCCCCATCCCCAAAATCAAATCCAGCGTGTGGCCCGCTTGGTGCATGGGAGTTGATGTAAACTGGGAGAGTCCCAGTGCCTCCATGGACGACACTAGGTCCCTGGCCAGGACAGATGCTGCATCATCGGCATGAACATTGAAATCACCCAGGATCAGGAGCACATTGTTCTTATTGTTGATAGACCTGGCATTGAATAACACCAGTGTCGGAGAAGGGTACAGTTTTCTAGCCCCACAACCAATATCCCTTGGGATGGAACATAGATACAAGACAATGGATGCTTTGGAGGTGGGAACTCTATGGCATTGTACCCCACTGAGGTCCCTGTCCTTCCCTGGCTCCATCCCCAAATATCTAGGAGTTTCCCAACCTGGATCTGAAAGCTTTACACGGCAGGCAGCTAGCTTGAAAGCCTGTTTCAACGTTCTTTTTCAGGTCAGAAATCTATTTCTCAAATTGGAGTCCTTTTGCAACCTACCAATATTTTTTCCAAAGTTACATCTTAACAGTCAATGTTTCAGGCAGTTTAATGTTGGTACATGTTGGCACATTGTCTGCAAGGGGTGTCTGGACAAGCAACTAACCAAGATTTCCAGAGTGTAAACTAATCAAGGAAAGCCAGTCAATTCTACTTCTCTGTCAACTTTATTATATTATTAAATGTGTGTTTTCAAACATTTTTTTTCATTTACACTTGGTATTGTTAGATGTGCACTTCACCATCCACAAATATAGGATTTCCGTAGGGTTCAGTGAGCCTTGCCTCCTCCCTCACCATGTATGCACAAATCAGGAGTACTGGGTTACTATGGATCATAACCACATCTAGCTTTTTTACTCTCCATAATTCAGATGGTTGTCTGTTTTGTGTTAGTAGTGAAAAAGCTGTTCACACAGCTCTCCAAAGTCCTTAGAATCTAAGAAATCTGGGATAAGCCACAAGCACCATAGATATGAAGTCCACCACCAGTGGCCATATAGATATATAAAAAGGTAAAGGTTCCCTTGCTCAAAAGCCAGTCGAGTCCGACTCTAGGGTTGCGGTGCTCATCTCCGTTTCAAAGCCGAAGAGCCAGCGCTGTCCGAAGACGTTTCCGTGGTCATGTGGCTGGCATGACCAAACACCAAGGCGCACGGAACGCTGTTACCTTCCTACGGAAGTGGTACCTATTTATCTACTTGCAATTTCTTGCTTTCGAACTGCTAGGTTGGCAGGAGCTGGAACTAGAGATATATAAAGTACCATATATCTATATCTATATATATCTATAGATAGAGATATATAGATGTATAGATATATAGAGATATAGAGATATATAAAGTACCATAAAAAGAGAGATACAGGGTAAGGCAAGAAAGCAAAGGTATAGAGAAGAGAGGAAAATTTTAAATAGATTAAAAAGGGAGAGGGACAGTACTTTCAGCAATGAGCTATAAATCCTTGATGTTCTTATTTAGTTATTATTCGTGTACTACATTAACTGTGCATAGGTCTTTTCCCTTGCTTTCACCATGCACGTCTGTCGGGTTTTCTTTCTTGTTTGGCACTGATTTTCCTGCCTTCAGGACTCAGTTCGCTTTCTGGTCACTGTTTCTCAGGGTCTTCTGAGAGTGCTTTTGTGCCAATTTTCCCCTTGTTTAACTTCCAAGCTGAAGGTAATTCTGAAGCGTACAGATGCCCTCAGATTTCCTGCCCGCCCTTTTGCTACCCCTCGAAGGTCACTCCCCTGCCCACATCAAGGTCCTTCCATCCACTCTGCATCTTCCACCATCCTCCCCCCTTCATCAGTGTACAAGCTCCATTATATCCTCATTTTAATTTTTTTTTAAAAATTGACAAGTGGCATGAGGTTACCAATATGAGACTATTGGTAGTCTTGGATTGTTGCATAAAAAACTTAAAATGACAGGGGAAGTCTAAAAGGAGCTACGCAAGGTTTCATTCCCTGTGGTATTTACTAGAAAGGGGGATTGGAGAGGAGGCAAATGGCAGCATCCCCAATGGAAAAAAAATCAGTGCTGGATGCAAGTAAAATAACAGGGGGATTGTCAGCGCATAATACAATTCTGAGAGGGAGGGCAGGAAGGGTTGCATCAGTGCTTAGTTCTTGTGGCCCTTTCTTACATGCCCAGGGAAATGCTGATCACCACTTTGGGGTCAGGAAGCAATTGTTCTCCAGGCCAGTTTGGCTGGAGATCCTGGAGGCTTTTTGTCATCTTTTGGGCATGGTATAGGTGACACTAGGGGTGTGGGGGGAGGTATTTGTGAATTTCCTGCATTGCGCAAGGTGATGACCCTGGAGGTCTTTTCGAACTCTATGATTCCATGATTCTCATGATCTGCCTAAGCTCACAGAATCAGCATTGCTCTCAGATGGCCATCTAGCCTCCAAAGAAGGAGAGTCCACCACGTCCCAAGGAAGCCTGTTCCACTGAGGAACCACTCTAATGGTCAGGAAGATCTTCCTAATGTTTAGCAAAAAACTTTTTTGATGTATTTTCAACCCGTTGGTTCTGGTCTGATCTTCTGGGGCAATAGAAAACAACTCATCATCCTCTATATGACAGCCCATCCAGTACTTGAAAATGGTTATCATATCACCTCTCAGTCATCAACTCTCCAGGCTAAACATACCCAGCTCCTTCAACCTTTCCTCATAGCACTTGGTCTCTTATACAACCAAAAAAGTTTATGATGAGGATTGTGCTCCCCCAAAATCAAATTCCATGTGAAACATGGATAAGGAGGATGACTGGGTGAGATTAAACAGAAATATCTGTCTTGATGGACTCCGTTTGAAAACCTCCAAAGAAGGAGAGCCCACCACCTCCCAAGGAAGCCTGTTCCACTGAGCAACCATTCTAATTGTCAGGAAGATCTTCCTAATGTTTAGCCTAATGTTTTTGATTTATTTTCAACCCGTTGGTTTTGGTCTGACCTTCTGGGACAATAGAAAACAACTCCGCATCATCCTCTATATGACAGCCCATCCAGTACTTGAAAATGGTTATCATATCACCTCTCAGTCATCAACTCTCCAGGCTAAACATACCCAGCTCCTTCAACCTTTCCTCATAGGACTTGGTCTCTTATACAACC